GCTTTCTAATAAGAGTTCGGCACAAATGCGATTCATTCTCTTGGTGAGCATAACCGTTTTTACAGCTCTGTGACGCAACCCGTCAAAAGGCTTACATAAACGCCACAGAATAAGCCTTAAAAGTTCTCAGAAGTGCAACAGCACGTAACAGCGCGTTCATATATATGTTTTCGATGCAGAGTGCAAATTGCTGTGCATTTATTTGTGTTTTTAACTCGATGGGAGCGAAATGAAACCGTCTGAACGCGAAGCTGTGTGTGTTGTCTGTCTCCCCTGTTTGTTTTTGCTTTGTAATAAGAGTTCGGCACAAATGCGATTCATTCTCTTGGTGAGCATAACCGTTTTTACAGCTCTGTGACGCAACCCGTCAAAAGGCTTACATAAACGCCACAGAATAAGCCTTAAAAGTTCTCAGAAGTGCAACAGCGCGTTCATATATATGTTTTCGATGCAGAGTGCAAATTGCTGTGCATTTATTTGTGTTTTTAACTCGATGGGAGCGAAATGAAACCGTCTGAACGCGAAGCTGTGTGTGTTGTCTGTCTCCCCTCTTCCCCCTCCGCTCCGCTGCGCACCACGCCCACTTTTTTTTCGCGTTTTTTAAAACTGTGGTGAGAACTAACCAATTCTGAAACGGGGGGTTTCGTGACCCTTTAAAACGTCACATTTTAGTATCGGTACGGCTCGCTTGGAACCTCAACCGAGGTGGTACTATTTAAGTGAGCCATACCGAGCTGTACCATGCAGTGGAAAAGCGCCAGAAAGTGAGCGGTGCAGTGGAAAAGCACCACAGCGAGCCGCATCGAGCCGTACCATGCAGTGGAAAAGTGCCATTAGAGTTGACGGCACAGAAGGCGGCAAAATGCATAGCATTGCTCTCTTAAATTTTATATTTATGTTTTTGAATCGTTGGTTTTGTTTCCAAAGCTTCAGTACATAACGGCACTTACGTCTGTCTTACGAATGTACTGCAAATGCTCTAAAGAACGCTGAAGCGAACAGAAATGAGATATACAGTTCTCTGCTTGCTGCGTGTCAATCACGCTCATCAGGAAAGTGAGTGGAACACACACAAACACACATTTTTATCAAATAATATGTCATTAATAGTTCACATCAGCAGCGAACCGTACCAGAGTTCACTTGAACCGTACCCCAGACCACCCCTTTTAAGCGGACTCGGGTACGTTTCGCGGGTGCGCACCTGAGTTCGGAAGACAGCGTTCACATCGTCCAAACGTACCGAACTCTGACATCAATCGAACCTGGGTGCGCACCAAAAGTGCTAGTGTGGAATCACCCTAAGACACTGGCTATGTTTATGGAACTGGCCCCTGTTTCGGGTCAGTAAATTTATATTTTGAGTTTTCTGCAAGAAAAAACATTTTAAATGCACAATAATAGCTGGAAATGAAATAGATATCATGTAATTACTTGACCCATTTTTGCTGCAAACTGATCATAACTGATGCTTCAAAGACAACCCTCTACATTGCGAGTAAATCACAATTCGCTCTCCATCAAGCGATCTGCACTATTTAAATTCTTCTCAATGGATGCGCAGCGTACCTGTATTAGACGTACCGTAAACAATAGTGTGAAAGCTCACGACTCGCCGTCGCTTTGCTGATAGCGCTGTTTCTCACACATGCAAAGAGAGTGAGCGAGAGTCTTACATACCACACTGAATCAATAATCAATCTTAATATTCATGAACCCAGTTGCTCTTCAATCCTTAGTGTGTTGTATATTGTATACAAAGATAAGCTGATTTGGTGGATTCAGTTTGGTGGAATTAAATACATATTTTATATATATATATATATATGTATGTATATGTATCTGTGTGTGTGTGTGTGTGTGTAAAATAGTATATCAGTATGGCGTGTAAACTAAAAGAAATTACTAGCCAATGGCGATTATATTGCCAAGGTGTGTGTAGAGGGTTCTCAAAATTGTGTGGTAATGTTATCTTTGTAACAGTATCGAATCAGCACAATTCACACCAACAATGTTCAATACATCACAGAAAACCAAATTATTACCAAGGCATAAAATGGTTTACAAGATGAGCTAATGTAAGATACATTTTTGTATGCATTCTTGAAAATGACAGTTGAGTCCGCTGGCCTAAAACTGTCAGCTTGGCCGGCGGTGATACTTGTTGTTGAGCCTAGGTCTTAGCTGACTGTAATGTCTCTATAACAACCTGCAGCCTCAGCATGTTGTTGCTATTGCATAGTTCCACAGGTTGATACTAGTCATTTTATCTAATGATATATTTCTCTCTCCTTCTCAGGGCCATGGGTTGTGTGGAGAGCAGAAAGAAGAGCTAGAGAATATGCGAAAGCAGCATGATCTACTGAAAAAGATGCTGGAACAGCAGGAACAACTCCGAGCACTACAAGGCCGTCAGGCAGCACTACTGGCCATGCAGCAAAGCGCTGAACAAGCCATAGCAGTGATGGATGACACTGGTGCGGGGAACAAGTTTACTTCATGCTTCTTGAAATTAGACTTGTTTCCATTTTTATTGACATTGTTCTTGTGTTACAGTTGTTACAGAGACTACTGGAAGTGTGTCTGGCAGGAGCATTACCTCAGAGCTCAATGATGAACTCAACGATCTTATCCAGCGTTTCCATAACCAACTCCATGATTCACAGGTACATACACACTAGGCATGGGCCGGTATGAGAGTTTGACGGTATGATAACCTTTCACGGTATTACAGTATTGTTGTTACAGCTCTAAAATGTGTTCTTTTTAAATGTCTGGGTAAAAAAAAAAAAAATTTCCACTGAACACAATATATTTTATTTTTGAGCAACATACAGAATATTTGGAACAGCAGTATTTGTTTATTTTTTCTTTGATTTGTTTCTGAAATGTTTGCTGAATTGTGGGCTGTCTTGCCGCTTTTGATGAGAAAAAGGAAAAAAAGAAGAAAAATAAAGACTGGCATCTTTATTTAACCTAAATCTGTAATTACAGTTATTTAATTTTAGTTATATAATATAGATATAAGTCGCGTAACTTCCAGGGGAAGCTCCTTCGGCCATCATGCACACACATGACTGACCGTGCTCGCACAAACAGGAGGGGGAGGGTCGTGTTACTCTCTACACTGCACTCAGCCTGAGGGATTCCTACACTTTCAGTCTTTGAGGACATGAAAAACAGTGCATACCACAGGAACGATATAACGGAAAATATTAGCGGTTTTGAAACAGTGAAATTTTCAAATCGCGGTATACCTTGAAACCGGTAATCGGCCCATGCCCCTAATACACACGCACCTAACCAGTCAAATTTTTATTTATAAATTTATGTATAATTTATTTTCTTTGGAATATAACAAACAAAACACTAGAATTTATATTAAAACATGAAACATTTTCATGCTATAGGCTTTGAAAATTAAATGGTACAGATTATTTATAGGATCATATATATATATATATATATATATATATATATATATACTGTATATAAGGAGATTTTTAGACTTTGCTTTTACATGTAGATGGAATTTACATGTAATTGCAGGCTATATACTGTATATATAACCTTGTCCAATCTCAAAGGTCTTCACCTTCTCAACTAACAATTAAAATCATACAACAATATCATAATTTTGACGACCTATTGATTATTTACATGCGTGTAGGTTAAGTACATGCGTCACACAGCAGCTCTGTTCACAGTATTTGTCTGTTTTCCAAGGCTGCATGATATATAATATATTAAACCCATGTTATCATTTACATGTGTGGAGCGTCTCAAATTCCATCTCTGCATGTTGTTGTGAGTTTGGGTTTATTATAACGTTCATCTGGGAACGCAACGTGCGCCATTTCATCAGGTTTGTAAGGTAAATCATTTATAAATCCACACAAACACAGGAGAATACATCATCTAGCGGTTTCAAAATAAAAGCACAAACCCTCACTCTGAGTTTACACGCTTTGTTGTCCACATATTCTTTTAATTACAGTGGCTATAGCATTTCTGTCCTAGGGAAATTAATCGTTTAGATTAATCGATAAATTAGTCGATAGATTGATCGAAATAAAAAGTAATTAGTGGCAGCCCTAAAACGAATCACGATACATTTGGGGGTGGTAGTTTATATGAATGTATCTCTGAGGGGAACTTACTGTCTTTAGAAAAGATTAGATGTTTTTTTCTTTTCATTTTGACTTTGTATAATGCATATTAAAGTAGTGTTTATAAGCGCAGCACTGCTTTGTTTACAGCGGTAACCAGGGAACCGCTGTATAGCTGCTGTTCCATAAGTGCCGCCTGCTGTCAGAGAGTGAATTGACCATATATTCCACTATATTCATGGAGCGTTCTTTAGAACTTTCCGCATAAATATAAGCCAGCTTGTAAACTTCCGGTGAAGCTCATTTGATGTTGTGGTATACAGTATCTCACAGAAGTGAGTACACCCCTCACATTTTTGTAAATATTTTATTATATCTTTTCATGTGACAACACTGAAGAAATGACTGAATGCCAACATGTACTGTGACATACTGAAGCAGAGCATGATCACCACTAGGGCTGTGCAATACGGACAAAATAATCATATTGCGATTTTTAATGAATATTGCAATTGCGATTTTATTTGTGATTTTGGCAATTGTTTTTGCTTTTTCAAACATGCTACATTCTAAATGTATTCAGTGCACAAGAAGTGCATAACAAAACATTTCACAATGAAATAACATCATATTAACAGCTTGATAAACAAAACTGTAATAAACTGTCTTTAAAACAGACAACATAAAATATATTAAGGTTAACTAACCTAAATTCCAGTCATAACAAACTTCAAAATGGTTTTTCAGTGCACACATTTCACAATGAAAAAACATACTGTACAGTAGTATTAACTGCTTGATAAACAAAACTGTAATAAATTGTCTTAAAAACAGAGAACATAAAATAAATTAAGATAAGCTAAACTAAATTCCAGTCATAACAATAAATAAACTTCAAAATTGTTTTTCAGTGCACACATTTCACAATGAAATAACATACTGTACAGTAGTATTAACTGCTTGACAAACAAAACTGTAATAAATTGTGTCTTAAAAACAGACAGCATAAAATAAATTAAGATTAACTAACCTAAACTCCAGTCAACAATAAATAAAAAATGAACAGAATTCAAAACCAAAAAATAGATTGCTCTCTTAAAGGTTTTTTGAAAGAAAAATCAGCATGTCCACCATTTCTGGTTTTAAGCATGAACGGTGACATGTCACCACATTTCCCCCAGTACTAAACACTCTCTCTGAAGGTGAGCTGGTGGCAGGAATACAAAGATACTTTTGTGCAGCCCTGCTCATTCTTGGAAAATGTATCTGATGGAGTCTCCACCATTTCAGAGGATCTTCCTCACTGTCAATGGATGGAGAAAGCAGGTAGCTGTTTAACTCAGAGGCTATGGCTTCTTCAAATTGCAGAGCTGCTGGCATGGCTGATGTCGTTTTGAAGAAGCTTCCTAAGGACTTCCTTGCTTTTTTGCCTGGTGGAGGTAGATCGATGTCAGGATTCTCTCTGCTTGTGCTAGTCACAGATTCAGATGTATCCTTTGACATACATAACAGAAAGAGAAGATTAAAAAGCCATATAAAAGAGAGTTTATCTTAAGAGATGACAGTTTCATCCAGTTTACATAAATTAACTCACCTTGTGTGAATTCATTTCCATATCAGACATGACCCTGGCCTTAATGTTTGGAAGTTTATCCTCATCAGTGTAGCTGGTTTTGAATCTTGGATCCAAAAATGTTGCTGTATCCAGAAGCTCTTGGGTAGTTTCATCCTCATAATGTTTGTTAATGTAGTTAAGGATTTTTGATTTTATAGTCTTTGTCAGGTCAGTATCTTCATCCTCCACTGCAAGTATCTTTGAGTTCAATAGATGAAGAACTGGTTTCACGTAGGACACACTGATGTAGTTTTCACTGGAAAGGGCATCCGTGAACTCCTGAAGTGGACCCAATGCCTTACTTACAGATTCCAGAACATCTGTGTCTTGCCATTGTGGTACTAGGTGTCTTGTTTTACGGTCAGCTGAAAGGACCTGAGACAATGCCCTCTGTTGCTCCAAAACCCTGTCTATCATTTGTTGCATTGAGCCCCATCTTGTCGGGCATGATGTTATGAGGGCATGTTGGGGAAGCTGAAGTTCTTCCTCTAAGATCTTCTTTTTTTTTTCCAACTGTGGGAAGATTTCCCACTAGCTTTTTGCACAAGCCGTTGGCTCGGGAAATGCGAGGTTCATCCTTGATTGCATTTTCTAAAAAAATTAATTAATTGCAAAACATGATGAACATGTGTTATATTGTAAGTATTTCATGCATTTAAATATAAAACTAATGGGTAATACTTTACAATAAGGTGCTATTTGTTAACAATTAGTTAATGCATTAGCTAAAATGAACTAACAAAGAACAATACTAATACAGCATTTATTAATGTTAGTGCATGTTAATTTTAGCATTTACTAATACATTATTAAAATCAAACGTTGTCATTTTTAACATCAGTTAATGCACCATGAACTATGAATAACTGTGTTGACATGAACTAACATTAACAAGAATTAATAAATGCTTTACTACTGTTAACAAATAGCACCTTATTGTAAAGTGTTACCAACTATTGTACAAGTTGAAAATACTATTAGTACAAAACATTAATACATTTCTATATTAAACATCTTTGCGCAATTTGTTTCTTAATAAAAAGTATGCCCTACAAAGTGTCCTAATGTAAAGTATACATTACTTAATGTAAAGTATAATTAATGTATAATAAAGTCTAACTTACCAATTGCCAAATGTAGTCTGTGTCCGAAGCACTGCAATCGTGTCCAGTTGTTCAAAGTGACAGCCTTCACTATATTAGATCCATTGTCTGTGGTGATAGACACTTGTTGCTCTTCACAAAGTCCCCATGATGCTAAAGCTTCTTTTAAACCTTGAGACATATTTTCTCCAGTGTGATTTTCTGGGAAGAATGCTGTTTGCAAGCATCGACTTTTTATTTCAAAGTTGTCATTAATATAATGGACCGTTAAACTCATATACGGCTCCATCGTCCTGCTGGACCACATATCTGTGGTCGTGGCGTAGTATTTCACCTGCTTAAGCTCGTATTCGACACCCGCCTTACATTTCTCATACATTTCGGGAATAGCAACTCGTGTGAAATGAGTGCGAGATGGCAGCTGGTATCTTTTGTCGAGTGTTTGTATTAGTCTTCGGAAGCCGTCTTTACTGACGATGTGCGCAGGCATCATGTCTTTGCATATATGATAGGTGACTACGTCGGTAATTTCTTTGTGTCCTTTTGATTCTTTCTCATAAGGCATGACGCTTGCAAATGCTTGAACGATGGATACTTGTTCAGTCGGTTCAGGCTGGCTTTGATGTGTGCTTTTGTTAGTTTCGATGGACTTTGTCGACATGCATTGATCATACAGTTTTTTATGGCGCTGTTTTAAGTGTTGGAACAGATTTGTAGTATTGCTCCGTTTCGTTGCAATGATCATTTCACAAGTCTTGCAATTTACCTTGCTCTGTGACACATCCTCTCTCCTGAATCCAAAGTACTCCCAAACGACTGATGTTGAATTTCTCTTTGGCACCAAATCATTTTTATTCTGACCTGCATCCATATTTTATGTTCTTTCCTCCCGTTCACCTATTCTGTTCTCCCGCTCAGCTTCGTCGTAATTTGCGCGGTGCGCTGAGTGAGCTCTGATTGGTTAACATCTTAAACATGTGCACAAGCAGTATTATGAATCAAAATATACGTTAAATAAATTAATAAATAAAATCGCAGCCTTATGCGGTTTAGAAATCGCATGAGCTCAAATCGCGATTGTTTTGCGATTGCGATTAATTGCACAGCCCTAATCACCACCCTTCGGAGACTGGGCCGCAGGGCAGTATTCCAACATGATAACGACCCCAAACACACCTCCAAGACGACCACTGCCTTGCTATTAACTTACAGTTTCATGTTATTTAACAACGTACAATTTTATATGCCGAGCCTGGTAATCCCAGGAGAGAACCTAGACATGTAATTATACATTTAAATGCAGACAACTAAACACTATCATAATGGTTTAGGCTAACGTTAGCTAGCTAGCGATGCTAATCTCTTAAATGACATAATGGTATTCTTGATAATAAATAACTTACCTTCATAGCCATTAATACATTTTTTTAACCACTTATAATATTTAAAGCATTTGTTATTTCTCAACTCTACAGCTTTGCAGTAAAAATCACATTAAAGATTCACTTTTCATTCATGAAGATGACATGAAAAAATGTGCCAAAAATGTCTCCTGGCGGAAACCAATTTAAGATGAAACTGACATGAAATTACCATTTAACCATTAGATGACAGCAGAGGATCACTCATTAGCAGTTGTCATTTCAACTCCCCAGTTTTTTTCACATCTTCATTTGGGTTTAATATGAAATTACTATTATAACAAATTTTAGTACTTTTACTATACTGAAGTATAAAGTATATCAAGTGCAGGAAGTCACTAAGTCTCAGGTAATTTAAAAAATAAATAAATAATCTCAGACACCAACAGCCTAGAAGGGTAAATTATTTAAATACTTTACTAGTTAACTACAAATTAAATAAGTTAATTATTAAAACTAGTTAGCTGCAAATTAAATAAATTAATAAAACTAGTTAACTACAAATTAAATAAGTTAATTATTAATGGTATAACAATTAAATAATAATGCATTAAATATTTTGAAATATTTAAAGATTTAGCCTAATTTAAAAACTAAATTTTTAAGTTTTATCTTTAACTGTAGAAGCTGCTAAATATATTCAGCCAACAGACTTCTTGCTTCTGTAGTTTTGTTACTCTGAATTTAGTCTGAATCACTTAATGCACAGCTCTATTTTTTGACATCAGACGTTTCGTTCCGTTTTCACTGTCAATCGTAGCAATGAGTCGCAGAACAATTTACCGGATTTACTCACATAATTTTTTACACTCGCGTTTGACATTCCTTAAACAGTATACATGGACGTCTGGTCCTCTTAGACAAACAAAAAAATTCTTCAAATTGTGAATGGATTATGTAGAAAAACTGCAAAAGGTGCTCCACAGTTGATTTTGACAGTTGACCCGAAATGACTGAGCTGGCTTATCTAAAACCAGGAAGTAACGGTGCATATGGTCAATTTGCATCTCATTCACAGCTTCTGCTGTATTTGTTTCGTGCAGATGTTTTATGTAGTATAGTTTCACAAAACTAAAGTCAGAGCATTCTGTTTTTGTTTTAAAATTTCAAATTATACAATCTAATTTAGATGTAAAAACTGCTCATGCTGCATGTATACAGCATCTTTGTTTGGATTGTGATATCAAATGCAGTGGTTGCCTCTAATTTTGAATGGAAAGAGCACAGGCAAAGCCTTTGTTTATATGATGAGTTTTTTTTGTCTTATTTATTTGATTAAATTTGGGGTTTGTTTTAAAATGTAAATTTAGTTTTGTTATATGATATTTAAATTTCACAAAGAAATGTGCAGCATTTTGTCCAAGCAATAATAAAAGAACACCTTTTCATTAATAATTTGTCTTAAATCTAATTTTGTAAAAAAAAAAATTGTGAGAAAATCGTATCGTGAAATCAGTATCGTAAATCGTATCGCATTGTGAGTTGAGTGAATCGTTACATCTCTATAGGCGGCTACTTTCAAATGCTCCTGTGCATATTTATATTGCTTTCTGTTAAATCAGGTGTTTAAGGTTAGTCAGAATCCACTCATTTTTCATTTTTTATTTTAAAATGTTATTTTCTTTAATATTATTATTAGCATTAATAATGAACTGATTAAATTTATTTTTATTTTCAAATAGTTAATGGTTAGTTATAGTTACTTTTCTTTTTTTTTTTCTTTTTTGCTATGGTACTGAAACTGGTTCTGAAAATCATTTGTTGTAATGTATAATTAAGAGCTCATATTAAAGAGCTGATGTTTTTAGTTAAATCATGGCCATAAACTGCATGTTTTTATAGACTTCTGGAGAGAGAATTGTTACTTAAGGCGGGCGTACACGGTGCGATTTTTGCTGTTGTACGAGCTCGCAGGCGATTTTTTTCTCTCGGGAGAAAATCGCAGATGCTCGCATGGTCGCGGCTCGTACCGTGTGAGAAGAATTACGGGCCGATCCGAGACGTTACGAGCACCTCCCGTCCTCCCGATAATTTTCAAACATGTCAAAAAAAAATCGGATGCTGTCGGTTTAAATTCGTGGCGTATGTGCGGTTGAACGAGACGATTTGGCGATCCATCTGAAGTTGACCAATCAGAAGATGACAAAAACCATATAGTCTATAATAATTTTAGTTTAATTATACAGTTCTCTTTTTTATTTGTTATTCCGAATGTGCCAAATTTGCCATTCAGCTTTATGAATGAATATGCCTGGTGTATTTCCGGCAGAAATTCAGAAATGGCCTAGGCTACTCCCTCGATTTCTTTATGAAGAACAGAAAGTCCATGCTTTTCTCTGCTTTTCAGCCATTCTCTTTGCCATGTCCTTTGTCTTCGT